TATTTTACATTTCAAAATAGTTTAACATTATCTCCTATAAAACCACATGACCAGTAAAAATTTACAAAACCATTGAGCTTACACAATTTCATCTTTGCCCACATGAACACTCAATACTTGTTTTGTGCACCATGTAAATAATACTAAACAATCATGTTTTTAGGTCACGCTCTCTCAGTATCTTATAAAAAGTGATAAAATATGCATTGTGAATATCTTCTGTCATCTCACCTCAAAAAAAAAAAAAAAAAAAAAAAAAAAAAATCATAAACAAGTATGCCCTGAAACAAGTTTCCAGAAACTATTTGTTAAGGTTCATGACATCAAAAACAAGAATCAAGTTATGGTCTTATTTGACTTCTTTTTGTTTAACACTACATTCACTTTACTGCATACTTTTAACCATCAACAGTCTCTTGACTGTGACATAAGAATATCACATTTTACATCACTACATCATTAGTATATCATAAGCACCAATTTGTGAGTAGTATGACATTGACAAGGATTAAAACTTGTTTATAAGTCCATTCAATTCAAAGTGTGCAAGGACAATTTAAAATACAACTTGATCTTTTTGTTATTTATTGCTCTTTCAAAGTATTGTTCTATAAAAAATAAAAAAATTAAACACACCCATGTAATTGACATACAAAGTATAAAGTTATCCAGTCAAACATAACCATTTTTCAAGCAAATCCAAGTTTTTGATGCATAAATTGAATGAATCATGACAATGTCAACAACATTCAATCATATTTTAATCAACATACTTACATGGTTATACACAATTAGGAGGAATATCTCTTCATTTCCATGAATTGTACTCATTGCTGACTGTTTTTACAAATGATTCAAACAAAAACATTTGGTTGTTTGTGTTATCACTACTGTTCATGATTTCATTGCAACATCTCATACTTTGATGCTCATGGTAATTTCAATGCAATGTTTTATTAGAATGATACCAAAAGTAACCTAGGCTGTGGAATGCCTTTGAAGAAGTGTCTAAACTCCAAATTAAATGAAAGACCTTAACATTCTAACTTGGTCAAGACTATGCACATCAAATCAACAAAATTGTGAATGTTTTGCTTCATGAAACTTTCAAAAAACATATGCATATATACAATCATTGTTCAAGAAAATGATGATTTCTTTTGCAACTGAAAATGATCACAGTAAGTAGTGTATATGCCTTTTAAAGTATTTACCAAACATCCATAGTGATCTATTGACTTTAACATGAAACTTGTCAAAACTAAGTGCAAAATAGCTCAAAACAAAGCAATATCAAAGAATTGAAGAATTAATAAATGCAAACATAGTGAGAAATGTGGTTCAAAGCATGTGTTGTTAAAGCATCCACTATTTACATATCTTTTTGATACATTTTGATCAAACTAGCTTTAATTATTCTTGTGCATACATATTGTTTAAACACAGTCCATAATACCATTATTTTTGTTCTCTTACACTATTTACATCCCCAACCCAAGGTGTGAGTGTCTTTGAACAATGTGGAATTTGGGGTGGCAAGTGTGAATGTTGGATTGGGGAAGAATATAATGGAAACAAATGTTGTTTGATTGTTTTGGAGTGTATGTACATTGGGAGTGGTTTCCATGTGTCAAAAGACACCTGGAGCTAGAAGAGAAAAGGAGAATAAAAGGAGGTTCAAAAAGCAACACAAGCAAGGAGGAGAATGCAAATGGGAAAAAGCCATGTCATGTGATAGTGTAACTTAGAAGCAGGGAATAATGGGAGGGAGCGTTTGCTTTTGTCGTGGCTTTGGCTTGGGCTTGGGCAAGAAGGATAACATGCTATGCTATGCTATGCTGCAGCCAGCAGGGGGAAGGGATATCAGGGGAGCTGAGAGCAGCAAAAGGAGAGGAATTGTGTTTCTGGGAGCTTCTAGCTTGCTAAGCTTGGCCTAGCCCAGTGGGGTGGAGAGGTGGAAGAAGGCTGGGGTCGCCAAAGCATGCCACGCCAAAGCCTGCCACCAAATCTTCTTCTACCCAGCTCTTTTGTTACTCCTCCTCCTCCTACGACTCGACGATACGATACCCTCTCGTTTTCTATTTTTCCTTTTCGTGTTTTCCCCAGTTTTCCATTCGTAAGTGGCATGTTGACGTGTTTCGAGGATTCGGTTGCGCCATGACGAGGAGTCCAGGCTGAATTGTCCAGTTGCAAGCGTCTTGCCTTCGCTTGACCACAACAAAGGAAAATAGCTATACCGTTGGGCCATTTTTCCCCCTTTTCTTTACCTCTCCTTAACCCCTTCCCCCCCCCCCCCCCAGGGTTTCCGCCCCTTTACCCACTGGCC